AGACTAGATGATCACAATGGTTCCTTCTGGCTTTGGAAACTATGAATCTGTGAATAAACTGCTCTCAGTTCTTCAGTTGGATATGGCTTTGTGTCAGTGCTCTGAAACAGTCAGAAACCAAAGTGACTGGACTCCAAAGCTATCCCATCTATTACACATGTAATAATGAAAACCTAATAAAGATTCAATCAAAACCCTTTGAAAGAAGAGCTTAAATTACATGCTCAGTCTAGATTAGTGTTTCTTAACTTTCTTAAAAAAAAAAAATAAGTATCCCTAGTACCTACAGTTTTCAGACACACAACATTTTTTTCTACTATTTCATCACATTTGTTTAAACAACTTAATTGTAGCCGGGCAGGTGAATAAAATTTTGGGTGTAAAAAGTACAAAAATAATTAAGTGATGTAAAACTTAAAACAAATTCAGTTTTCTCCAAATTTCAGTTGTTGGCATGTCCCTGAGACTTCTCCCGAGTACCCCTAAGGGTATTGGTACCACTGGTTGAAAAACACTTGTCTAGATTATCCCTAGTGGAGGCAGACAAAATCAAAAGTGACCACTGCATGGCGCCACTGCACCAGTATTTCTGAGGAAGTAGGACAAATGTATACAATTTTCAGGATTTCTCTTTCTTGGCTATATCTCTAATGCATGATTTGCTGTTTCTAAACAAAGCAGATGTTTCCCACTGTTCTCTCATTGCTGAAATAAACTTAGAATGAGTGATATAGTTTAAAATGTAAGCAAACATTGCCTCTCCATGGAAAAACACTGTCCATTTTTTGTTGTATACAGTAGTCTGGGAGTTATCCAGTAGCAAAAGATTGACAGAGACTAACTTCACTGCACTTTCTTGAAGAGAGAGAGAAGTCTCATTTTCTTCCTGCCAAAAGCTTGAGAAGAAGGGGTTGACTGTACAGGGGCTGTCTCCATGGCCTCCTCCTGAAAGTCTGAGGAGGTAGAAAGGACAGTTTAGTGGTGAGATCTATCCATTCATTCCCCCTCTTCTAGCCACCCAGCCTTTAGGAGATGAAAGAATTTCTCCAGGTGACTTCCAAGAGGTCATCTTGGGAAACAGCTGATCCCAGTGGCTTTCCCTCTACCAGGATCAGTAAGAAGTAGAAAAGTGGGATAACTCTTTGGACATAACTGAAGCCCATGCAACCATTGCTGGCATTCATTGCTGTAAAGTGCTTTGTGACTCTTGACGGAAGGCGGGGATGCCAGTCATTATGGTAGTAAAGTATTGCTATGATTTTTTTCATTTATTTTTTTTAAAACCCTTTACATGTTCAAGTTTAGTTTGGAGAACAAACTTCATTTTTGGTTGCTCAAGCATTGTCCTTCTAATAGCCATGGCCTAATTAATTTGTAAACTATCTTAAAATACTGCAACATCTAAACTGGGTCGTGTGGGCTTCTGCAAACTGAGGTTAGCTAGAAAGAAAACAGTGCCTCTTGGGACAGCGCTGCTCTGCAGTTGGGCAGTTATCACTCTCATTGAGATGCCAAGCATTTGCTCTGGTCTTGCGGTATCCCCTGAATACATCACTCTGTTAAAAGATCTACTGGAAATTTCAGTTAGTTCAGTTTAAATGCTTAGGCTAAAAATGTTCAAATCTGTCTGGAGAAATAGCTAGGTACCTCAATCTATGGATAGCTAGGCACCTAAACCTAAGGAATTGTCAGCTGGTTGTCAATGGTGTTGTGCACACAGAACCCACTGAATTTCAAAAAATTCAAATATTTAAAAGTAGAAGTGTTACCCGGTATTGCTTGGGTTCTTAACTCACTTTGTTTTTGTTTTTTGGAAAATACAATGAAAATGTACATGCTTCTCATTAATCATTGCTCTGGGGTGGGACTGGGGATGAGGGGTTCAGCATTGTCTTCCCTGAGGAGAAAGGACAACCCCAGACCTCTCTCATTTCAGTAGCTTGGGGCCAGGTGAGAAGTGCCCCTCCGTGACTGCTGTAGCTCCAGTGGGCACAACCGGGGGGGAAGAGGGGTGCATGTCCTGTGGCTGGGGCAGGTCCAGGTTTGTTTGCTCCCTTGTGCTCCCCAGCCAGAGTCAGGAATACAGCAAACTGTGCAATTTCCCTTGGCTCCCTGATGACAGAAGACAGCCAGCAACGTTCCCGTACATTCTGAGTGTCCCGAATCTGGGGGCGGGGCAGAGCTTCCCTCCCCCACTAGCTTCCCTAAAACTAAAGGGCATCTAGGTTGAGGGAGGCAGGAGGCTCAGGGCTGAGCAGTCCTGGATAGTGTGCGCGCGCCCCCAGACAGCCTCTTTCACCTGCCTGGCGATTCTGTGTCTTTTCTGTATAGTTTTCTGAGATGCAATCCCATTCTGGGTGCATCCCATTTTTCTGGCACAACCAAACCTTTACCTTTCAGGAAGCTGAAGACCAAATTTGGTAGACCTAGCTCTTACGATTTAGGAGAAGTTCCTAACCAAATGGACACACGGACAATCGGAGAAACTCTCTCAAATATATAGTCAATGGCTGGGATAGAAAGGTGTTCTGAGTGTCCTTACTTTCCAGAAAGATCTCTGATCTGCAACCCCATTTTATAGATCCATTGTACCAAATGTATAAATGGGGATCAGCCAGAAAGTACACAGTAATCAGGTAATTGATGCAGCAGTAATTTGGCTCTGAAGGATACTCAGTTGACAGTCTATTATCTTTGACAGGTTTGGTGTGAATATTTCCCAAGCAATCTGAACACCTGTGAATGTAGGTGATATTTGGTGAGCTTCTGGGTGTCTTTTAAAAAAAATCTGTTCTAGGAATTATATGAGAAAGTTGTGCAGCCTGTGCTATGTGGGAGATCAGACTAGATGATCACAATCATTCCTCCTGGCTTGTGAATCTATGAAAAATTGTATAATGAGTGGAATCAAAATGCCCGATCCAAACACCTGCCAACTCTGGGCAGTATGAAATCCAGACCCAAAGGTTGCTATTTTAACTGACCCTAGTGTTTTCCATTTCCTTTTTTGTTCATGCTGACATAAAAACAGAGGAATTTAAACAAACACACACAAAAAACCAACCAAACAAAAAAAAATCCAAGTTTTTGTGAAGGGCTTAATCTCTCCTATTGTGATGCAGTGCATGTGTTACCAAGTCTGTTCTTTTTGCTTATGGCTTTGTGCCTGCATTTGCTGATTGAGAAATAAGCCAAAAACCCTGTAGACACTGAGTTTGGTTTTGGAAAAACTTGTTGCAAAGCCACACTCTGGGCTGGTTCAGATCTGGGAGCTTAGAACCTCCAAATTCAGGGAATTAGTATGAATTTTTCTGGTTTTGGCCCATATTTCTTCATGATTTGTAGCAGAAACTATTTGAAAATAATGATTTCTCAAGGTGGTTCTGGACCAAACCTCTCACTCTGCATGATGGGCGAATCCAGATCCTGTTCCATAGCCAAACTCTGCTGCTCAGCACCATCTCTAGGTATTTTGTCTTGCTCATTTAAGCCTGGAAGTGAGTTTCCTTAAACTCTAATATCAGTGTGTTGGGTTCATGGTATGTGCTTCTTGTGGGACGTGACAGTATTGGCAAGCCTGCATCCCCACATGACTTTTTTGCTAGTGATTTTTTTTTTCTTATTACATTTAGTGCTCTGTAAAGTCACTCTTCTGTATTGCATTATATCTCAGCCGCGGAGACATTATCCATTATGTGTCGACAATAAAAATATATATTGTAGGGATTAATCCTATATTGGTAAGGGAATAGACTCTCTGACCTACTAACAGGCCTTTCCATTTCCAATGCCCATGATGCTATGAAGTCAATGGCATGTCAGAGAAGTGATGGAGCGAGAGAACAGACAAGCCCTTTTTCAGTTCACAGAACCCCAATTCTTTATTAATCACAGCTTGCACACAATGACATACAGGAAAATAGCACTAATGAAGAGTAGAATATGCAGGCAGCAACCTCCAGGGGGTAGGGACAACTTCAAAACGGCAGCTATTTTAGGGGTTATGTTAGGTTTGGTGATAAGGTAATTGGAACACGAGCAATGTATACTTTTTCTAGATGTCTTTAAAGTAGGTCAGGTTAACTAACACTGAAGTGAACAGGTCATGTTGAGTGGAAGTCATCAACAGTGTTAAAAAAATGCAACAACCAGCTCATGGGTTCCAGGTGGAAATATTCAGTAGCCTCTTGTATTCTTACACATGTAATACAGTAGTTTCAAATGAATATCATAGATCATAGCATCTACAGATACAGCTACTTGATGCTGATTAATTGCTCCATCAACAAATCTTCAACTGGCGAATTAAGCTTGAGACAATTAGCATTTTTTATGGCTGTTGTGTACCATTTAGAATTTTTCATAGCTAGCTGTTTATAATATTCAGCTTCTTAACTTCAGCTCAGATTGATGTTGCTTGCCTTCTTATTGGTAACCCTTATTTAAAAAGTAATATTTGTTGCCTTTGATCTGATGAAGGCAGACAAAATAAACATTGCAATTAATGGGTTAATCGCCTGTTCATTATAAATGTAGATGTAAATAATTATGAACACACAATGTTTTAAGAGCATTTTATCTGGACAGCTTCATGTGGAGTCACAATACCTGTGACTTAGTTATTGTTTCGACAGAGCTTATTGATTACAAAGCCTTCTTGGCTATTAAGCGATGATTGGTCTCTAGCACCATAGACCTATTACTGACCTCCTTGGATAGTTAGAATTAAAATTGCAGGGAATGGAATTAGACTTGGGCTGCTTCAAATGAACAGACCTAGCAAATTCAACTGAGTGGAAATAGACAACATCAAAAGCCTGTTACAGGACATGTAAGATTATGAAATAACTTGCATAATGCAATACTTGTATTTTTTAACAAAAATGTAAGTATTTACAAAATAAGATCCAAGTTTTTTTAAACATCAAGCAAATCATTCTGCAAAGAGACCATATTGTTTTCATTTTTGTTTTTTGTTTTTGTTTTTATTGAGTTCTTGATTTTTTTTTTTAAACCATGTCATACATTTCCCATACTGATATCGCATGATCCGTAATAATATAGGCAGGGGAGTTTACTAATGGTGGGGATGTGTGGCATCCACCGTTGCTTTTTTCAGCCAGACAGTTCCACCTGGAGCTCCTTGTTTCTACGGACCTCTGCAGCATGCCTCTCCTGGAAAACATCAAGAAGGGAAAGGTTAAAACTCTTCCTTGCTGAATCTGCCCAGGAAGATTCTTAATGGCAACTCATTGCTCTGTGTGTACAGTTCCCTGTGCATCAGTAGCACAATAGTCTTCTGAGGATGTTGCTCATATAGGACCCAATTCTCCAGGCCAGCATGAGGCCTACTGAATATTTAAATTCGACTTCAGTCCTATTTTGAGGTCTTAAGTAGGATTTAAGTGGGACATAGGCTTTGTGGAACACCCTCTGCATAGGGGGAAATTTCACCCTAAGGACCAATTCTTCTAGGTGCTGAATGTGCACAACCCCCATTGCTTTCCAAAGTAACACTCCAAAATTTAAGCACAGCTGAAATGAATTGGCTCTAAGTAACCTTCTTGCTTGCAGGTTAACGTATCTTCCCATGTGAAAGGTGGCTATTATTACTATTTATATTACAACAGTGCATGGGGGCTGCAGTTAAGGATCATGGCTCCTTAAGGATCAAGATAGCCAGAGAGCTCACAATGTAGATGGTAGATGAAAAGACACAAGAGGAGGAAAACTAGACACATATGAGGGTGAAGAGTTGGGGAATGAGCACCAAAATGAGCAGAGATGAGCAGCAACACAGAAATCACAGGTCATCATTTACCCTAACCAGTGCCAGCAGGAGACATGTATAGTCATCATTTCAGAGGTAGCTTCTAAGGATAAGATGACAGTTTTATTTATATGTATGTAGAGATGCCCAATGCATGGGGCTGGCATGTGAAGAAAGGCGGAGATGACTGAGAGAGAATTGGACAAGCAAGCAAGCAATTGAGGTTGCCATCACCAGCAGAGTAAGTGCTAGGATCAACAGCCTGAGAAGGTACTATCTAGACACTGAACGCATGGAAGATGTGCAGTTAAAAGGGAACACTTCTAATTTAGGGCTCCATTCTGACTGCTCCTTTACAGATGCAATGTGAGGCAAAGGACTCAAAAGTCGCTCTTTACGAAGGCACCTGGGCAGGATGCAGGCAGAATGTAGCATAGAATCATAGAATCATAGGACTGGAAGGGACCTCGAGAGGTCATCGAGTCCAGCCCCCCGCCCTCAAGGCAGGACCAAGCTCCACCTACACCATCCCTGACAGATGTCTATCTAACCTGTTCTTAAATATCTCCAGAGAGGGAGATTCCACCACCTCCCTTGGCAATTTATTCCAATATTTGACCACCCTGACAGTTAGGAATTTTTTCCTAATGTCCAATCTAAACCTCCCCTGCTGCACTTTAAGCCCATTACTCCTTGTCCTGTCCTCAGAAACCAAGAGGAACAAATTTTCTCCTTCCTCCTTGTGACACCCTTTTAGATATTTGAAAACCGCTATCATGTCCCCCCTTAATCTTCTTTTTTCCAAACTAAACAAGCCCAGTTCATGAAGCCTGGCTTCATAGGTCATGTTCTCTAAACCTTTAATCATTCTTGTTGCTCTTCTCTGTACCCTTTCCAATTTCTCCACATCTTTCTTGAAATGTGGCGCCCAGAACTGGACACAGTACTCCAGCTGAGGCCTAACTAGTGCAGAGTAGAGCGGCAGAATGACTTCACGAGTTTTGCTTACAACACACCTGTTGATACAACCTAGAATCATATTTGCTTTTTTTGCAACAGCATCACACTGTTGACTCATATTCAACTTGTGGTCCACTATGACCCCTAGATCCCTTTCCGCCATGCTCCTTCCTAGACAGTCGCTTCCCATCTTGTATGTATGGAACTGATTGTTCCTTCCTAAGTGGAGCACTTTGCATTTCTCTTTATTAAACCTCATCCTGTTTACCTCTGACCATTTCTCTAACTTGCTAAGGTCATTTTGAATTATGTCCCTATCCTCCAAAGAAGTTGCAACCCCACCCAGTTTGGTATCATCTGCAAACTTAATAAGCGTACTCTCTATCCCAATATCTACATCATTGATGAAGATATTGAACAGTACGGGTCCCAAAACAGACCCTTGAGGAACTCCACTTGTTATCCCTTTCCAGCAGGATTTAGAACCGTTAACAACAACTCTCTGACTACGGTTATCCAGCCAATTATGCACCCACCTTATCGTGGCCCTATCTAAGTTATATTTGCCTAGTTTATCAATAAGAATATCATGCGAGACCGTATCAAATGCCTTACTAAAGTCTAGGTATATGACATCCACCGCTTCTCCCTTATCCACAAGGCTCGTTATCTTATCAAAGAAAGCTATCAGATTAGTTTGGCATGACTTGTTCTTCACAAACCCATGCTGGCTATTCCCTATCACTTTATTACCTTCCAAGTGTTTGCATATGATTTCCTTAATTACCTGCTCCATTATCTTCCCTGGGACAGACGTTAAACTGACCGGTCTGTAGTTTCCTGGGTTGTTCTTATTCCCCTTTTTATAGATGGGCACAATATTTGCCCTTTTCCAGTCTTCTGGAATCTCCCCTGTCTTCCATGATTTTTCAAAGATCATAGCTAAAGGCTCAGGTACCTCCTCTATCAGCTCCTTGAGTATCCTGGGATGCATTTCATCAGGACCTGGTGACTTGCTGACATCTAACTTTCCTACGTGATTTTTAACTTGTTCTTTGTGTATCCTATCTTCTAAACTTACCCTCTCTCTGCTTGTATTCACTATGTTAGGCACACCTCCAGACTTCTCGGTGAAGACCGAAACAAAGAAGTCATTGAGCATCTCTGCCATTTCCAAGTTTCCTGTTACTGCTTCTCCCTCCTCACTAAGCAGTGGGCCTACCCTGTCCTTGGTCTTCCTCTTGCTTTTAATGTATTTATAAAAGGTCTTCTTGTTTCCCTTTATGCCTGTAGCATGGTGACAGTGCCTGTCAGTACGGGTAGCACAGCCACACTGTGGACAAGAATCAGAACAACCCAAAATGGACATGAATCAGACCTGCAGTAGTGAGCTTCTAAGAATCCTAAACAGCCTTGACTGCTGCCAGTCAACTGCAGTCCATAAATAGCTCGCAGCTTTCACTGTCAAATGGCAAAGTAAGACCTAATGATATTATCAAAGAAGGTCACAACTCATTGCGATCTCATCCGAAAGAGCTGCTACAGACTGAAGCAGTCATCTGGATGCACCAGGCTGCATGTTAGCTAAAACATTTGAAAAGGAGAGCTTTTTGCAGAGGATGGTTCTCAGTCCTTTGGCTGGAGTAGCATATCACCTTTACACCTAGAATTAAGTCTTTGTGCTAGCCGAGAAGCTGCTGCAGAGGACAGACACCAGACACCTTTGCTACACAGTCAGGGCTCGTCTACATTGGCCCCTTTTCCGGAAGGGGCATGTTAATTTCAGAGATCGTAATAGGGAAATCCGCGGGGGATTTAAATATCCCCCGCGGCATTTAAATAAAAATGTCCGCCGCTTTTTTCCGGCTTTTAGAAAAGCCGGAAAAGAGCGTCTACACTGGCCCCGATCCTCCGGAAAAAGCGCCCTTTGAAGTAGGAATAAGATCCTCCGGAAAAGGGTGCTTTTTCCGGAGGATCGGGGCTAGTGTAGACGCTCCTTTTC